AACACGGTGAATGTCAGGTATCAGGTCCATGATACACATTTTGTCTGATGGTGGAGAACGAGTGAGCCGGTTAGCGTAATTGTACAGCACTGACAACTGAATACCAATGCAGGTCACAATGAAACTCTCAAACATACATACATATATGCATACATACACACATACATACCTGATCTGTGTGGGCATTTGTGCGTGGTACCAGCGATCCAGATCGAAAAGACCGACACGCACCACTCCGGGACAGACGAGCCACATCAATGCGACCAGATGCGCCGCATCTGATTGGTTCGCAGCGGCCACGGAAGAACTGGCCGCGGTGCGTATTGGCTGGATACGGAGCAGTTGTTTTGTCAAACGTTTTCGTTCAAAACGCTCGGAGAACAGTTCCGAACATAGGCGTTCCGACAGACCAACCAAATTCTGATCGGAGAAACGAGTGGGGCGATCACAAATAACAGAGATCCCAATCAAAAGCAATAACTTGTTTAGATCCAATACAGAGCAGTGAAATGAAAAATGAACGCATCGTTTTATCGGCTTGCAATTTGACTGAGTTCTTTATATAACAACCCGTCCAATGAATGACATGATAGTGTGATGGATAATGGATAGTATCAGCCACTGCATTCTTGATTATCGCCTTGAACCACGCGATCCACTACGGATGTTGATCATTTAGCAAGCATTTGATCAACTTTCACCTAAGAAATGTGTGAAGAGTCCACAAATGCAGGGTATTTGGAAGAAATCGGTCTTGCGTACTTTGTCCTCCAGTTGCTTGGTTAGAGGGACCGAGAAACAAATTCCTGATGGTAGATGTGGAGAACAAAATTGGGTCCTAAAATTTGACTCCACTTGGAGTTTTTGGCTAAATGCTGTTCAAGCATCTCCAATAATTGAACCTTACGCATGGAACTCACGCCAGCAGTGATGACATTTGACTTTCGCAGTCAAGTGTGTTAGTAATATTGCACACTCATGAGAGATAAATAGCAGAAAAACTAAACCTCATTGCCACGAAGCCTCGCTGTCTACTCATGACAACCAGAAATCCGAGTCATGCGAATTGAAGTGGCGAATCGCAGAATGCCCCCAATGGCATAAATAAGCGTGTCACTGAGTTGTACGATTACGAAGCAGCCTACTACCAGAGTTGGGGTCTCGAACTCCAGGACCCAATGCATGCTAGTGTGAGTGACTTCAACCGTTTGACGACNCGACCATCACCGTCAACCATTTCTAACAATCGCTCACTCAATAATCATCAAAACAGATGATGCAAGTCCAGAGAGCCCATTCATGTGTTCAACTTCCATCATGTCTGTCGAACTTCCCGGGTTTTGTCCCCTTTACTTGACAGTGCGTCTGTCTACGCATTCATGAGGAAATTGAAAATCTTCATCATCCGTGCGCACGGTAAAGTCATCGGACAATGGAAGTTCTCCTATCCGCCTGATGATATTCTGTCAACCACGAGAAAATAACTCACCTGATAGTTATAGGTCACTTCTCCGGAAATCGGGCCAGATTCTTCGTATCTTTGCTTGTAATGCAGCTGGTAGAGCTTCACTTGAGAGCTGAAAACACACATGCCGGAGCCAGAGAGCAACAGATTGAAATGATAGGAACATCATAACTACCGATTCCCACTGAATGCAACAATTAGAAGTGGCTAAAACGCATGATCCTCAATGATCGATGTGAGCGAGAACCAGGCTAGCATCAATCCATCTAACGAATAGGAAGCAATCATTTCTCATAGTATAATCACACAGTTTTGACTGGGTTCTCAAGTAGTTATACACTTCAAATGTCATGGCTATTGTTGCTAGTAGGTATAAGAAATTGTGTTCTCCTTCTACATTACTGGCAAAAAAAGAGAAAATACTAAGAACACGTATGACAGATAGCACATAAGTACTTGATTTGTTCTCCATCCTCCAGATCCACACACTGCCATCCAATCCAAATGTAGCAACAATAACGTGGATCATCGGAAGGTTCTTGGAAAGCGACTTGTACAACGGGAGCACAGATTGCGGTGTGACGGAGAGAGAATCTGCGATGAAAGGGGGGGGGAGAAAAGAGAACAACCGGGTGACGACAATGAGGGATACGATGATATTTGAATGATGTTACGCT